AACTACCACTGGTGTCGGCCCCTGACTCCCTCCACGGCCCAGCTCTCTCATGGCTTCTGATTCCCCACTATAACTCAGCACTACTGAGTTCCCCAGCGCCCCTTGTGCTCCAGGCTCCTCCAAGCCCTCCTTGCATCTGGGGCATTCAGGGACAGTAGGTACCGGGTTTACAATGGTGCCAGTGGCGCCATGGGGCCGGGCCCACTCCACTTGCGCTGCGCCCCTAGCCGCTGGCTACTCTCCGCCTCCTGGCCCCTCTCCCACCCACTGCTTGCTGCTCTCAGCTGGTGACCAGATGGGGATGGAGAAGAGCCGTCAGCCGCAGCCGCTCCAGCCCAGTGACCGTTCACTTCAGGCTCCCCAGGCGCGGGGCCCGCCTGTCCCTGCCGCTTTGTGGAAGCAGCGGGCTGGGGAAGTTGGCGCGCTGCCCCCCAGTCCTTGCAAGGAAACAGCTCCTCCACCATGGGCACCATCAGCACCAGGCTCAGCAGGGCTGGTGAGTGCGGCCTGGGTGGGGGTTGGGACAGGGCATGGGAGAGTGGGGGAGGTTTTTGTGTTTTGGGGTGCTAGGCAGTGTGGAGTCTATTGGGGAGGAGCTGGCCAATGGGGGAGGTCTGTGTGTGTTGGGGTGCTGGGCAGTGGGAGGCCTGTGTGGGGTGCTGGGCACTTGTGGTTGGGTTGTGGCTGGGGGGGCACTGGGCAGGGATGATGGTGTGCAGGGTGCTGTGCATTTGTGGGGGGGGGCTGTCAGGGAAGCACTGGGCATAGTGGGTCTGGGGGGGCACTGGATATATGGAGTCAGGGAGTATTGGGCAGGGGAGCTGTATGGTATGGCATGGGACCACCCCCAAGGGGAAGGGGCACGCTGGTAACACAGGGCCGGGCAGGCCAGTGTGCGTCTGGCGACTGCCAGTTTGTAAACAGTGCCCTCGCCCTAGGCTGGGTGGAGGGGGCCACCCCACCATGCCATGCTCCATTGCCCCTGGCTGGCTCCTTGCTCCAGTGACCGACCTCCCAGTGCCATGTTCCATTGCCCCTGGGGGGCCCATGAATATGTTTGGCGCTGGGCCCAGAAAAGGTTAATCCGGCCTTGTCAAGGAATAGGTCCCTGCCTTCTCACTCCGACTGACAGCTTTCAGGGGACCCTGAAGGGGTCCCCAGTGGCTTTTCCCCACCATTTGGTAATGCCACACGTGAAACAGCACAAAACTTGGCAGCTCTGTGATTGGACCATCCCAGATCACATGAGTAATGGTTCCTTTAGGGCCAAATTGATGTCATCCCAGAACATCTTGTTCAAGCTTGGTTTTAAACAACGTGAATGATATGGCATAAATTCTCTGAAGTGTCTTATATAGAGGTATGGTAGGTGATTTCAGAGACAGAATCAAGGGAATTAACTCCAGCTGAGGTTCTATTTTTGCAGTGGAATCTATGGGCTAAGCTCTACCCTTCATTACGTATCACAGGCATTGCACAGGTGTAAGTGACTGCAGAATTTTGCCCTGTATGGCTGGCCATACATCCCAAAGCTAATTCTGCAGCTGTACTAAAGGATTATGTCAACTATCAGGAGGTAGCCGTGTTATTCTGTATCCACAAAAACAACAAAGAGTCCGGTGGCACCTTAAAGACTAACAGATTTAATTGGGCATAAGCTTTTGTGGGTAAAAAACCTCACTTCTTCAAATAAATCTGTTAGTCTTTAAGGTGCCACCAGACTCCTTGTTGTTTTAAAGGATTATGTTGTAGCTCCAACGTACCACAAGGTGACAGTGTTTGAAAATAATACTTCTGCCCTCAGAAGGCTGCATGTTTATGGTTATGCTGTCAGAGCTTTGTTCATAAGAGATTTATAGTGAGTTTAATGGTGATACAACGGCGGTGCACAGAGAGTGAAGATGTGATGACAGGTTAGTTGTTCAAATAAGTGTGGGTTGAATCAAGAATTTAACTCGTCTATAGCTTTTGGGATTGTCCACAGCCTTGGAATGCACGTGTCAGAACCTGAGAAGGCTACAATTTCATTTAGCCTCACCTCCCAACATGAAAGCACCTTGAACTCGGCAAAATTCCAGCACTGTCTGTCCCATCCCTGTGTCCCCGTCCCCCCCCCCACCACACACACTCTATATAGCAGCTTTATATAAGCCTATAGGTAATGGTGCTGAGTCCATAAAAGTTCACTTTCCTTGCTAAACTGCTGTCAACCTTTTCTGCTTGTGAAATGAGGAGGGAAACTGGTCTGCTAGATGACAGTTGTCAGTGTCACACGTGAGTCCAGTTTTCCGCAAGGCTGAAAGGGCACCAGTGAAAAATGCTCAAGTCCTTTAAAACAGTATTTTAGTGTTTGTGCCGATTGACAGCCCAGGAAACTGAAGTCCTCTATCCACAGACAAGGTACTGCCTGGGCAGAGACAATGAGAGCTTCCCCAAAAAGCCCTGGAGAGGTGAGGTAGTTCATTTTCCATTGCTATTCAGGCCTGGGCCTCTGCAGAGAATGCCAACAAAGGGACCACTTATGATGGTGGTTTTTGTGTAAACGCTCTTCCACTTGCACAAGAATGAGACCCCTAACTCATGTCAGATAAGCTCCCAATAGCATTGTATGGTGCATTTTTCAGACACTTCCAACCAGATGCTTAAAGGTGAAGCTCTGCCATAACCCATTACCTAACCCTCTGAGCCATCGAGTAACCTTGAAGGCACTCATTTTTCTGTACAACTTTATTTTAAAATACAAGTTGTGTTTAATAAATGTGAGGACGCTTTAGTGTCATGTAAAAGTTTATGTAGATTCCTTAGAAAATAAGAGACAAACAGATCAACTACTTCAACCAGGTTTCACTCCAACTTTTGCTGCTGTTACTGCTGCAGTTATATATGAGCATATTTAGAACAGTCATCTTAACAATTATGGGAAAATCTTCACTATACTGAAAAAATGCTTTTCTTTGCCTCTTGCTGGAATGGTCACTATTGAAATTGACATATACATCACCTCTAAATGTTGTTTCTTACTCTATTTTAAAATATTTACAAGCCATTGTCTGTGTAATTGGAATACACCAATTTTAACATGTGGAAGGGAAGGGATGCAGTTTCTTCTGGATTTAACATTTGGGGGAGTGCAGAGTGGCTGTTGAAGATGTATCTGCTCTATTTTTTATGTAGTATGTTTCATATTTGGGCTTGCATTCCTCCATTTTCTTTTATTTTTTGCTGAATCACGCACTCTTATTTTCTCTTTGTTTTAACCCTTGAAACTGCCTTTCATTTATCACCGGGTCATAAGTTTCTCACAAAGCAGACACCAGACTTCACTGGCTTCCCCGAGCTCTAACTCTCAAATGCTCTCACATTGTAGATGTGTTTTGTTTTCCCTAGCCAACCACTGCATTTGACCATGGGGCAGACTCAGGTCTGGTGCATGTAGGAGCAACTATGCTGAATTCTCTATTGGCCAGGTTTTCAAAAGTGCTCAGCACCAGCTTTCTGAATGGGAGCTTCTGGGCACTGTTGGTTTTTTTTTTACTGAACTTGCCTAAATAGGAGAAGTGCTCCTCTGAAGATCTGGGTCCATAGCAGGGGTGGGCAAACTACGGCCCATGGGCTGGATCCGGCCTGCGAGCTGTTTTAAGCCAGCCTGCGAACCGCACCATGCGGCTCGGCCCCGCTCTGTTGCTCCAGCTAGGGCGCTGGGGCGCGGCCACAACAGACAGCACGGCCCCGCTCCGGCCAGGGTGCTGGGTTGGGGCCACACCAGCGGCTTGGCCCCGCTCCGGCGCTCCGGAAAGAGCATTGTCAAACCTTCTCGAGGGACAATCTCTTCTGCCTCTTTATTGTTTAGACAGTATCTTTGTGTTCTCTAGGTTTGTGCCCCTCTTCTGTACACCCCTTAATGAACTCTTATGCTGGCCATTCCCATTTTCAGTCTCTGTTAGACTGTCACATTAATCTAACTGCTTTCTCTCAAATCCTCCATTTTCCCATTATTGACAGTAGACTTTTTGGAGAGACTCTCTGTGGGTTTTTCTTTTCTTTACGCTTCACAACTGTTCTTCTCCAATCCACTATATTCATTTTTGCTATGCAGCCGGTACTGCCTCATGCCGCATTTTCAAGGATTTCCCTCTCTCTGCTTTCTAACAGTCTCACATGTGTAGTGGTATCCAATTCCCATGGGGGCTGCGTAGAGCGTTTCATTTTGTGGGGCTAAGAGAGTGCATACAACACTGGGAGTATTTTTAATGTATTTATTGTTAACTTTAATGCTCTGTGAGCTTGAAATAAGCCTTGAGATCATTGTCTGCTTCTATTTGAATTGCTGTAAAGCAGGATGTCCTTTTTTTCCAGCATCACAGTGGTCATCATTATTGATTCTCTGGTCTGTCCACGCTACTCTGCTTTAGCTCTGTTCTAAGCTGTGTGCCCCTGCCTACGGCCATTCCATCAGCCAGGGACCACTAAAGAAAGCAGCTTGAATGGCCCCTTGGGGCTGTGTGAGCAGCCAGACACAACTTAGAGCAGCCCCAAGGGGGTCCAGCTTGGCCTGAAATAATATGGGTTGTCCAGTACCTCTGTGTGGAAACTGTTGAGAAATGATGGACTTTGTATTGGTGAGTGCAGTTTGTGTGGAATTCTCCTTTGGGACAGCTGAGAGCTTGAATATGTTAATTTAGCAAGATATGATTTGGGACTCATGAAATATACTCTAGTAACATTCCAGTTTTTTCTTCTGCTGCATTTGCTTAGCCCCAACTAAATTGAATAGATGGGAACAAAAATATAATATAAAGAAACTGGGATAAAGAAGTGTGAGTGAATATGTGAAAATACAATATGCAGAATTACAATGGTGATTAGTTATTTGCCAGTACCAATGTCTCTTAAAAAAAGTTCTCCCCCCTCTAACTGAAGTTGCAGCTACATCAACCTTTCAAGCAATGTCCATGCTACTTTGTATTGTAGTTTTCATAATCAAAAAGTTATCACAATAATAATGTTACTGCATTTATTATCAATACAGTGACTGTACTGTGAATTGAGAATACATTCAACATTCTAGTAATACATGTACAGTGATGGCTAACATATATGGTACTATCATTTTGGTCGTGTACTTAAGAGAAGCATTGATATAAACAAAAGGTAAATAACTATTTACATCTTATTTCTCCGGAAAAACCTTTCCAGTGATTCCTCACATATGCCCCATTCTATGCATTAACTATTCTGATAAATATTTACATAATAAACTTTCTTACCCCAATTTTTTCTTATTCTTCTTCTCAGTTGCCATATTTTATTTTTGTATTTTGAATATGTGAATCAGCAGTATATATTTTTCAGGAATCTGGAGCATTTCCTGAAGTTTTTATTTTTTTTTAAGGCTAAATATTATCCACTCTACTAACTGGGGGGGGGGAAAGGATTGTCATATCTACAGTATTATTTCTGTTTGTTCTACATTTTAAAATGATCATGGAATACAAATATTGCTCTATCTAAGATAAAGAAAATATATTTTTCATAAGAAAGCAACATCAAGGCAGAAATATATTTAATAAAATAAAATCTAAACAGTTATGTATATTTCTAGTCCTCATAGCACTAGCTTTATACTCCTTTCTGCAAATAATCTATAACTAAACACAATTGGCATGTTTTAGAGAATTATATTTAATAAAATCTTTTCACTATCTATGCTCCATTCAACACTTTATTTTGCATGGTTAGGAGAATTTTATCAGACTTTGTTAAAAGTATGAATGCCTCCTTTTCATCAGTAGTTGTGTGTTTCTTCTTGGCTACATCTCATGAAACAAATGTTTCATTAGGACCTACAGTATGTTCATGTGCTTGCAAATGCCAGTGTAGTGAAGAATGATCCATAGACTGTTTTCATAAATATCAGTTTTAAGTTCTGTTCCACTTTCATTTCTTCTGGAAAACTCTTTGGAAAGACAGCATTTTTCTGCATATGTTTTTCTCTTAGTTTGTTCTACATTCAGACTTTCCATATACATTTAGATCAGAAAAAAAACCTCATTTGGTGGTCTTTTCAAGAATACTTTGCTGACTAGCTCTTTCCCTCTCCAACAAAATTAATTCAGTTCTTGCTGATGATGTAACTATAGCACCAGAAACTTGGACATTAGATGAGGTCCCTGTGGTTTCATTTTCTTCACCCTTAATTGTTTCTTCTTTAGGTGATAAGCTTTCCTCTGCATCAAAAAATGTTTCAGGTTTCTCTGATGGACTTTCATCATCTGAAGTTTTCATTTCTTTTAGATTTGTCTCTTCTTCTTTGTCAACGTTCGTAGCCTTTTTTGATGGGGATGAGAAGCCTAATTTGGGAAATCTAAACCATCCACTTTTTTCAGTTTGTTTAGAAGAGTCAGTATCTGACACAGAAGAGTCAACAGGCTGGGTTTCTTCAGGAATTGATTTTTGGACTTCAGGTTTGGAATCTGAGCCTGTGTCATCAACAGAGGAAGAAAACCCAATACTTGGAAGCCAAAATTTGAATCTGCCAGATCTTTTACTGTCAGTTTTTTCTTTTTGATCCTTCATATCTTTTTCTTCATCTTCTGGTATTTTAGCTATTTCATCATCTTTAGAAAGAGGAGATACAGCTATTTCCTCTGGTTGCTTATCAGATTGAGTGTCTCCAAGTTTACTGGAAGGCTGTACTTCAACTGTAAATGTTTTCAATTTTGGCAAACTCACACTGGAAGATACGACATCATTAGATTCATCAGTTTCACTTTGTGGTTTACCAGATAATTTAAACTCAGCAGTGCCAGTCTTTTGTATTGCTACCCCTAAATTTTCATCAGAAAGTTTAGGTTGGTGAACTTCACTCTCAGACACCTCATGTTTATATTCTGTATAAGACTGCAGTTTGACTGGCATGTCTAGTTTAACATGTGACTCAGGTATCTTCACTTTTGAGAAGTGAAAATCCAAAACTAGCAGTTTTAATTTCTGATGAAGGAATCTCAGATTCTTTCACTATCTGAGAGGAATAAGTCTCATGCGTTTCGATATCAACATGTCCAGATTCAACTTCACCTTGTGTCTTTATTTCTTTACTCTCTGCAAGTGGTCCCTGAATCTGTAGTGCTGCTTTTGAAACCGAAGAGTCTGAGACCTTAACGTATACCTGTGGGGTTTTAATGTCACATTCAGCCAATGTTGGAATTTTGACTGATGGCGTTTGGAAATTACCACCTGCAAACTCTGGTTTTTCTTTAGGGATCCTAGTGCTTACTTCCAGTTTTGGTGTTTCAATGTCAGTACCAGCACCTTTTAAGTCTGTTGCCACTTTTGATGTTGAAACGTCAGTTTCAACTGTGGGTGCATTGTAAGTGAATGCTGGTATTTTTAACTTGGGAATTTTAATATTTACCTCTACACTTTCACTTTGTTTGTCTGGCTTGTCCTTTGAAATCCTGGCTGATGATTCCATAAGGTCTGAACTTGGACTTTGCAGGTCAATGGAGCCATCTGCTTTTTTAAACTGGATTTCTACTATGCCTAGTTCAGTTTTAGGCAGTGAAACATCAGCCTCTAACTTTGGGAGAAAGACATCAACTTCAGAACCCTTTGCTTTTGAATGTAACACTCCAAACTTTGGCATCTTAAATTTAGATGTTTTCATTTTGCTTGCTTCATCTCCATCTTCCACTTTCACTCTGACTCCTGCAGAAATATCCTTTTCAACACTTTCAGCTGGAAACTCTATTTCATGGTCTACAACACTTATTTCAGTATCCATTTTAATTCCCGGAGCACCTATCTTGGTCTCTTCAAGGTTGGTTTTAACATCAGCAACATCTCCTGTTCCCTTTGTGGCAGGCCATCCAAATGAGGGTACACTGAATTTTGGCATTTTTAATTTACTTTCTCTTCCTTGAACATCCTTTCCTGTCGATTTTATTACACTCCCTAGCTTTTCAGTTTTAACTCCTGCACCGGCGTGTAGAATGTCCAGCTCTACTTTTGGGAGGACATCTAATTTCTTCTGTGTTCCATCCAAAGCAATTTCAACAGATGGTGCTTTGGTTCCTATTTCTGGACTTTTCAGCTCAATGGAATGTTCTGCTGTTGGAATCTCTGCACACTCTGATTTGGCTTTTTGTTCTTGAAGGGTCAGATCACATTTAGGGAGTGTAATGTCAGCTTCTGGTAAGCTGATGTCCATCCCAGTTTTTGAAGCACTAATTTCTGATGTAGAGAGTTCTGCCTGAGGTATCATGACTTTTGGAGTGTGTGTTTTCAATTGTTGTCCTTCAGCACCGCGTTTAACTACATCAGCATAAGTTTCGGTTTCAGGAATGCTCACTTTAATAACTGCTTTTTCTGGAGGTCGTGAAACTTCTGCTTCAAACTTTGATGAGGTAACATCAGAACTTTTACCTTTGTGGAGAGAAACTCCCACTTTTGGAATCTCTGCTTTAGCAGATCTGATTTTACCTTCCAAAACATCCTTTCCAGCAGCAGATTCAGTGTCCACATGTGGCAATGATGTTGCATATTCAGGAGCTTCTATTTCAGTTTGCATTTCAGCAGAAGGAGCACTTACTTGAGGCTTTTTCAGGCTCCCTTCACTATCAGTGTCACCTCTTTTTTCCTTAGAAGATGACCGACCAAATGTTGGCATTCTGAATTTTGGCATTTTAAACCAGCCCTGATGTTCTTCAGTCTGAATTTCTCCAGACTTCATTTCATGTTCTCCGTGCACTTTCATATCCTCCACCTCAGGGCTTTGAATGGCCACCTCTGTGGTTGAAACAGAAACTGATGGGAGACTAACATCCATCTTTGAAGCTTTAATGTCAGTGATAGAAACTTGAGGCATTTTCATTTTCCCAGCTGAAACCTCTATTTCTGCATCAGAGACATCAGATTTAATTTCTAGTATTGGAGCTTCCACAGCAATGTCAGCAATATCTGTTGTCATTGTAAGCTGGGGAACTCCAGCTTCCATTTTGGGTAAGCTGATCTCACTTTCTGGTCTTTTTCCTTTTGGAAGTGAAATTCCAAACTTTGGCTTTTGGAATTTAGGCATTTTCATCTTCCCTTCAAGACCTTCAACTTTCACTTCCGCTCCTTCCACCATCAATGGTCCTTCAATTCCTGTTTCTGGACCCTTCAGCTCAATGGAAGCTTCTGCTGTGGGAACTTTAATACCCGGGGACACGCTGACATCATCACCAGCAGACCCTAATTTGAGGTCAGCTTGTTGAAGACTCACATCATATGTAGGAAAGGCGGCATCAACCTTAGGTAGGCTAATGTCCATGTCTGATTTGGGAACTTTGATTTCTGGTTTGGAAAATTCTAGAGTAGGAATCTGAACTTTTGGCATTTTTATGCTTATTTGTGCTCCCTCTTCTATGCTTTTGGTATGACTGCTTTCTATATCAGGTATCTGCACTAAGTCTTCTCCATCTCTTTCTGATTTAGGAACAGTAACATCAGCTTCCACTTTTGGCAGATTCACCTGAGATTTAGGAACCTTAATTTTGGAGAATGAAATTTTAGGCATGATAAATTGAGACTTTTTAATTTGGCTTTTTTGTTCTTCTTTTCCTGTAGATATTTCAATATCAAGATCCATGCTTGGACCCTGTTCCTCATTTACAGTTTCTGCTAGTTTTGTGTCTGTTTTGCCTGATGATACAGTAATTTTAGGCTCTTCCAGAGGTGCTTCAAAATCAGCTTTAACGCTTGCTTCTTTTTTTGGTGACCAACTAAATGATGGCAATTTGAATTTTGGCAACTTGAAATGTCCTTCTTTCCCTTCCATATCTGTATCTCCAGGTTTTATTTCTCCCTCAAACATTGTTGCTTTAGATGCCATATTTGAATCTTGAATGCCAATCTCTGTCACTGGAACAGAAACGTTGGATTGGAGGTTAATGTCAACTTTGGGTGTCTTAATATCAGCTTCAGGTATTTTGGGCATTTTGATTTTCCAGCCTGAAGATTCTGTTTCTGCATTAGGGATGACAGATTCAACTTCTACTGTTGGTGCTTCCACAGCAATGTCAACAATATCTGTCATCGCTTTTAGCTGGGGAACATCAGCTTCCATTTTGGGTAAGCTGATCTCACTCTCTGGCACTTTCCCTTTAGGATGTGAAATTCCAAACTTTGGCTTTTGGAATTTGGGCATTTTAATCTTCCCTTCAAGACCTTCAACTTTAATCTCTGCTCCATCCACAGCAATTCCAGCTGATATTCCTTCAACTCCTGTTTCTGGACTTTGCAACTCTATGGACCCTTCTGATGTTGGAATCTTAATAGCTGGGGCTGACAGGCTGACATCAGCACCAGCAGACCTCAATTTCAAGTCAGCTTGTTGAATAGTCACATCATATGTAGGAAGTGTGACATCAACCGTAGGTAAGCTAACGTCCACATCCATTTTGGGAGCTTTGATTTCTGGTTTTGAAAATTCTGAAGTAGAGATCTTAACCTTTGGTATTTTTATGGCTATTCCTTCTCCATCTCCACTGCTTCCTTTCTCTGATCTCTGCACTGAAACATCTCCTTCATTTTCTGGTTTAGAACCACTAACATCACTTTCCAATTTTGGCAGAGAGACCTGTGCTTTGTGACCCTTCATTTTAGGAAGTGATATCTTTGGCATGTTGAACTGAGACTTTTTAGTTTTGCCCTTCTCACCATCTTTTCCTATAGGCATATCACTTTCAAGATCCACACTTGGGCACTGAACCTCAGCTACAGTTAATGTTAGTTCAGCTTCTGTTTCTCCTAAAGAAGAGGCCAAAGCAGGCTCCTCAAGGGTTGTTTCAGTATCACATGTAACAACCGCTTCTTTCTTTGGTGACCAACTAAATGATGGGAGTTTGAATTTTGGCATTTTGAATTTGCTTTCTTTCCCTTCAATGTCTTTTTCTCCAGATTTTATTTCACTCTCAGTCTTTACCACTTTACTTTCTAAATCTGGGCCTCGAATGTCTACCTTTGTTGTTGGCATGGTAACATCAACTGATGGGAGGCTGATGTCCACCTTTGGTGCTCCGACAGCTTTAGGTATTTGAGGCATTTTGAGTGATGGCAGTTGCATTTTTAAGCCTGACACGTCTGTTCCTGCATCAGAGTCTTCAGATTTAATATCTAAAGATGAAGTTTCAATAGCAATCTCAGTAACTTCAGCTATTGCTTTTGGCTTGGGAATGTCAGCTTCCATTTGGGGTAAGCTGATCTCACTCTCTGGAATTTCTCCCTTAGGCAGTGAAATTCCAAACTTCATTTTTTGGAATTTAGGCATTTTAGTCTTCCCTTCGAAACCTTCAAGCTTCACTTCTCCTCTATCTAGAGCAATGTCAGCTGATGGTATTTTAGCAACTATTTCTGGACTCTTCAGCTCAGTGGAACTTTCTGTCATTGCAACTTTAATATCTGTCTCTGGAATGCTTACATCACTAACAGCAGACCCAGATATCACTTTGGGTTCTTGAATACTCATGTGATACTTAGTAAGAGTGACGTCATCTTTCAGTAAGTTTGCATCCTGGTAAACTTTAGGGGTACTGATATCAACTTTGGAAAAACCCAAATCAGGAACCCAAAATTTTGGTAAATTAACATTTTTGGCCCTTGAATCTCCTCCACACTCAGGAAGGTCCACGCTGCTCTCAGGGCCTGAAAATTTCAATGGTATTCCTTCAGCTATTACATTAGATTCAGTTATAGGGTGAAAAACATCAGCCTGCAAATTGGGATCACTAATTTCAGATTTAGGAATCTTAGAAATTGACACCTTTGGAATTTTAAAATGAGGCATTTTAGATATCCCCTTAATGCTATCTTTTCCAGAACTACTTGGAATTTCAAGTCCAACACTTGGACCATGGATTGCAGGTCCTGACACTGTTATCTCTCCTTCGGCCCTAGCTGGTGGAATAGTCACCTGGGGCTCTTTCAGGCTTCCTTCAACATCTGCTACTCCATAACTGGTTCTTTTTGAGGTGGACCAGCCAAAC